TGGAAGGAGGGAGTGGGGGAGCGGTGGGCACAATTGAGGAAGGAAGACCAATTATGAGGCTCTTGTAGTATTTCAGGTGGGAAATGACAGATCTGAACTGAACTCACAATGGCACTGAGAATGGGGAGAAGGAGGTAGATCCTGAGCAAAGGAAGTTGAATGGATGGGGATTGGTGGGTCCCAGAAGATGTGGTGATGGAGGGAGAGGAACAAGCCAAAGGTTTCCCCAAGTGTCCAACTCACACCTGGAGAAAGGCTGGTCCGCATCCCAGCGTTATCAGTGTGCGATGGGGAGGGAAACTGAGGCCCTAAGAGGAGCTCTGATGAAGCTGACACAATGCATCAGGGGCCGTTTTGGCCTAGAACCCAGGAATCCTTACAGCTGAGCTAGGGAGGGCCCTTTCTATTGTACCCGCACATTTTCAGGTTTGGATGGAAGAGGAAAGCATCACATGGAGTAGAACGATGGCATCGGATTGGATGATCTTAAGTTGTTCCTTCAGCGCTCTCAAATGTCCTGGCAGTTGATCAGATGAGTTTTTGTGGCAGCAAAGCCCTGCTACAATATCAGATTCAACATTCGGCCAAGAACCCATTCATGTTCTAAAATAATCAGCAAATGAACAGATGCTGACCGATGCATCTAGAGACTAATTGTTTATGTTGTCACAGCATCAGGACCAGAATTGTTGACCCGGAAAATGACTGCTGCTTAGCATAATATTGCAGACAGTGGGATCCAGGAGCAGAGAAGACGAGAGTTCTAGACTTTGAAACTCTTAAATTGCAAGTACTGTTCCTTAAGTAGAATATTTAACTGAAAATATTTAGAATTTAGTCTTAGCGATTAGAATCACAGCTCCCCTGTATTCTTGCCTGATAACATACAATCCTAAGATACTCCTGACAAGTGATTTCCTATCCTCCATTTGAATATTTATATAATAAAAATTTTCCCTGAGTTAAGGTCTTGTCTCTTCCTGTTAAAGAGATATGATCAGAAACTGATATAAAAATATTAAGGAAGACTTTGAGTATCAAGTATCACCCAGTATCAAGATTTACTTTTCTTAACTGAGGCTTCCTCTGAGAAGGGCCTTTACATGTAGTCTTCCTTTCTACCTGTAGAATCTGTTGGTCCTTGCCCTCCTTTCCAGGTCAGACTCCCCAGTGACTCAGCAGAAAGTGTTGGAAGACTGCCATTTTCAAGACGCACTTCCAGAGACTGGAGACATATTTAACAATTTAATGCTGGCAGTAAAGGACAGATCTGAGTTAGAAGGTACTAGAGTGCTAGGGTCAATAGTTATTGATCCTTTGGAGAGAGAGAGTTTTGTGTGACTTCCTATATCTATTTTATTCTACAATAAAAAGGTTAAAAAATATATTAGAAAACCTGTTTTGAATCCCTCGGGCTAATTGCACAGGACCACCTTCTCCTGGATCACATCCAAGGACTTTCCAGTGTTGGCTTACCCTCCAGCCACCTTATCTTTAACTTGTTCAAATACATGCTAGAAACTGTCTTTCTAAAATGCCCTGCCCCTGTAATTTCACCTGGGTTGTATGCTGAGAATTAGGAGTAAAGATGCTTGAGGGTCTTTAGTTGGCTTTTTGGACCTTCCTTCTCTGGCTTGATGAATCCATGGCACGTTCTTTTTAGGACTATTTGAGTTTAAAGCTTTCATTCGGTTTCTGCATGGGAATTGTCTTCCTGGTTGGCCTTGCTTTGTTTGGCCTCGTGCATTATTTATATGTTCAGAGACTAAGCTGCAGGGCATTTTTCTAACTGAATCACATCTTCCTGTTTTCAAATCACTAATTAAACTGTTTTTCCTACTTCAAGATCTTTTTAAGCATTCCCTACAAGATTTATTTGTTTGTTTGTGTGTTTTTAAAGATTTTATTGGGGAGTTGGGGAAGGGGAACAGTGTTGGGGAATTAGAGAAGGAGAACAGCCAAGTTGTTGTCCTTCAATCTTAGTTGTGGAGGGCGCAGCTAGCTCAGCTCCAAGTCCAGTCACCATCTGACCGCCAGTTGGCAGCTCTCAGCTGCTCAGCTCAAGGTGCCGTGTTCTATCTTAGTTGTGTGTGGG